GTGTATCCCTCCAACTTCAAGGGAAATGCGACCGTGGAGACTCGGACTGATTCACGCAAAGTTGAGGTGAAAGGCCATTGGGGATTCCTTAGAATCGGTACTTAGGAGACGTGGGTAGTCATGTACATTCACCCAGCCTTTAGAAGTACTGTAAATAAACGGCTCATGACTATGTGCTTCGCCTCAAAGTTTCATAGAATTACGGCCTTAGAAGTATTCGAAACACTGTAGCAAAGGTTCGTTTGCAAGTTTGAATGTACAAGTACGCCCGCGCAAGGCTGACAGGGATAAAGGTCTGGTCCTTTCGACGGACTCTCCGATTCTTTACTATTCCTCTGCAAATGAAGTATGCGTGTAACATGTATAGCTTTTCCATTTTGCAGCCTTTCACGCCACTCCATACCTGTTCCTAGCCCCTCTCAGTCTCCAATCTTCCTCTTCCTCCTCCAACAGCCTCTGTCCAGGCAATCGCACAGCCCTGTCCAGGGCCACAGGTAAACCTCGATGACGCCCTCTCAACATAACGAGACATAAGACTAGTTTGCTCCCGGGATGCCATCCTCCACAGAAACTCATGGCATCTTTAGGAAGCCCAACAGATATACCAACACAGCCGTACCCAGAAACCACTTCAAATATGACATTAAAAACCGAAAAGTGCACCGGATCTTCCAGAAAGTGTGACGTCTCTATAGTTACGATGATGAGAACAGCCAGTGCGAGAAGCCACAGATCGTGTGCTAGTTGACCACGGATTTGCTGGTTCACGAAACTCATTCGAGTTTCAAATCCGCTGCCTCTCTTCTCGGTTTTTGCAGCACCAACACCAGCAAAGCTTAGATTCTCGCGTAGAAAGTGTGTCAAAATACTGGTACTGCTTGGATCCTTTTTCGCGCCCGGGTGGGAAGAGACTAGAGATGGTTCATCGTCGTCGTAGATTCCTAGAGACCGCTCTTCGTAGACGTTGGAGTGCCGCATAGTGATCACCACAGGATACACGGAGATGTACATCATGATCACATACAGTACCTGCAGCCCTGGATAGGCGGAGGCTATTGGGATGACGTAGAAACCTCCAGAGCGGACAGCTACGGCTCAGTCAGTAGTTGTCTTTTTTTGTAGTGGATGGGAAAGGGGGACATACCTAAAGCTTGGAATAAACCGTCCAGCACTCTAGCCCCGGCAGGAATAGCTTCAATAACCGGGTTACCGATATTGAGAACCTCAAATGCCATCCAGTCAATGCCATTCGTCATGAGGACCATGAATAAAAGCCACCACGTCGGTCGCGATGGGAAAAGATTGGTGTAAACTCGACGCGGGTACTTCAGGATGAACTTCAATGTGCTCTTCAGCTCGGCCAACTTTTCCTCGGTGGTCGTTGCACGAAGTGTTTTCAACGCTGCCCAAAAGATGAGTCTCAGAAACAGCGGATATGCCGTGTTGCCCGCGAGGATGAGTAAGCCCATGGTTATGAGCACAAAATATGCCTGTTGGAATGGCACTACGTTGGCGTCCAGCAATGACATCCCCGAGTTATTAAATGCTGAGACGGCGAAGAATATGCCGGCCCACCACGGGTTTGCACCATTGGATGTTGCGACTGTCGGCATCTTGTTCGCAATCCAGGCTCCGAGAGCAAGACTTCCTAGTAATTGCCAGAGCACCGAATACAGTGGGACCACGATGGACAAGAGGTGAAGGGCCCGGTATTCAAGGCCTCCCAGACGGGAGCGTTCGGGCCCGGTTAGGGAGTGGAACTGGGAGTTGCGGCCCTCCTTGGAAGCGCTGAGAAAGGATAGCCAAGGTCGAGTGGGTGTCTTGTCTGAGAGGGTCGAAGGTGTTGAACGGTGGGTGATATTTCCAGTGGTTCCGATAGTAATGTTATTACCCACGGTTCGAGGTTGAGATGATGTATCTACATCAATCAAGCCGGTGCCACTCGCAGCTCCTTTCTCCTGAGCCGCAGCAACACTGTTATTGGAGGCTGGTAGGCCACAATCATGCCGGCTTCCTTCTTTCTGGGCACGAGCGACCACCCGCAAGCTCTTTTCAAAGACATGCTTCCTCGCCATGACCGTCCATATCGATACCCAAACAGAACTGCCGATAATGATAAGCAGCCATAGCATTACCTGTTGCCACATAGTTATCTCGCTGAGGTTGACCGTGTTGAGTCCGGCTTCCGTCATGGCAGAGATGACGAGAAAAAGCGAGTCGACATAGCTGATGCTGCCGTGTGGATTTGACGAGGCGTAGAAGATTGCCGATGCGAGGAGCGTCGTGCCGATAAAGTATGCATAATGCAGTGTTATGAAGTTGAGAGGTGGTAAAAGTGCTCGGAGCCCGCTCTTGGATGAGTTTTCTTCATCTTGGTAGCGTTGACGAGAATTCGTCGCAGATTGTGGCATTGTGAGTGTTGACATCTCAACCAGGAGGTCGTCGATACCCTTGGACGCCGAGCCGGCAAATAGATTAAACTTTCCAAATCGCGATTGCCAAGTTCAGTAGATCTGCGCAGCCAAGGCCGACTTTTTTGCTGTCGTCAACTCTTAATTACTCACTCAACCTATCCCTTGGCCACTTCCCGAGAGGAAACAGTTGCAAAAATTCGCACAAAACGCCTGTCAAACACTTTGCCGTCAACACAACATTTGGAACCTTTCAACCTCTTCACAGCTCACAAATTGTCGGTGAGAGGGGGTCAGGGGTGGGTAAGAGCCACTTGACCAAGCCGAGTCATTCGTCAAAGGAGACAACAAAATTTTGCGCTAAAGGGGCACCGTCTGCAGAGCCGGTGCTTCTTCATCTCGCTTGGCACGTGGGCCCGTTGAAGCTTAATCTCACCGAGCTTCACCGACGATTTTAGAGTCCAGAGAGCGCCCTTCAGCCAACAACTTACATAAGGTAGGCCAAGATATATGGGCTTAAGGAGTAAACGAGAAGCATCAAGTTGCTTCACAGAAAGCATGTCGAATCGAGTACATTTCATGAGGTGGGACACTAGTTCGGGCAAGCCAATTTATTCAAACATCCTACTCGTGAACACCCAGCTACCATGTCCAAAGACAGCCAAACCCAGCCATGTGAAACCAAGCTCCAGAGTCCCTTTTGTCGTAAGATACATATGCCATGCTCCTCGGTATTGTTAGACCGGTATGAAAATTATAGAGACAAAAGAAAACAAATCCCTTGAGGACTCCTCCATTCCGCCAGCTACTTCTCCGCTTAGAATCCGAGGAGACCGTTGAAGGTGGTAGCAACAGCTGCGCTCTTGTCACCGGAGGCCAGAATCTGAGCCTTGGCGTCCAGGCACTGGGTCTTGGCAGCATCGTTGGCCTCGCAGACGTTAGTGAGCTGATCGCAGACGCGGTTGATGATGATGTTGGGGTTGAGGGCATCCTGTTGACCCTGGGCAACGAGAGCGTCGGTAGGCAGGAAGGTTCCCTCGTCAGCCTTGCGGCCGGCACGGCCAAGCTGGAAGTCGATAGTGGGAGTGCACTTTCCGAAGTCAGCGGCACCGGTGGCAGCTCCACCATTGTTGGCGTTGCCGGCGTTTCCAGTGTTGGCATTGCCGTTGTTGGCATTGTTGTTGCCGGCGTTCTGGTTCTGGTTGTTGTTCTGGTTGTTATTGTTGTTGTTCGCGTTGCCAGTGTTAGCGTTACCGGTGTTGTTGCTCGCACCGGCGTTTCCGCTGGCGGCACCGCCACAGGAGCTTCCAGCGTTGGCATTTCCGGTGTTGGCATTGGCATTGCCGGCATTGTTGTTGTTGTTGTTGTTCTGGTTGCCGTTGTTCTGGTTGTTGTTGGCGTTACCAGTGTTGGCATTGCCATTGTTGTTGCCGGCGTTGGCATTGCCTCCGGCAGCAGCACCACCAGCGGCCTGGCCCTTGATGGTGAAGTTGGAGAAGCCCTGAGCCTGCATCACCTCTGCGACAGACAGGCCAGTGGCATCAAAGGGGGTCTGCAGAGAAGTGGCCGAGTTGGCGTTCTCGGCATCGGATCCGGTGACGGCCGGGTCGACGAGGGGCACGATGCCACGGAGGGCCTCGGTAGCGGGGAGAGAGGCATCGCCGCAGATGCTGGGGACGCTGACGACGAAGGGGTTGAAGTTCTGCTCGGCGGCAACGACACCCTTGGCAGCCTCGAGAACATCGGCGCCGGTACCGAGGGCGGCAATCTTGTCGGCGAGAGTCAGCTTGTCGCAAGGGTCGGCGGCGGCGAGGAGAACGCCCGGGATACCTCCGGCGAGGGTGGCAGCTTCACCGGGGTTGCCAGCCTGCAGAGAAGAGACGGCTTGAACGGGGACCTGCTCCTGACCGAAGCGGGCTTCGACAGCGGCCAGAGCGGCGGAGATGAGAAGGATCTTGGAGTAAGACATGTTTGCTGATTTAAAGGCTGTGAAGGGTTGATTGAAGCAACGTTTACTGAGTGTCGAAGAATCGAACGGGGTTTAGAAGTTAAAAGTTGAAAAAGATTGTAATAGACCGGCTAGCGGTGTGTAGTTGGATCAGGACAAGAAAGAGTGTCGAGAACGTAAAAAAGTTCACAGAACTGAAAGATTGAAGAGTAGAGAAGGATGCTTGTTGGTTGCTGGATGAGGAGGAAAGGAAAGAGAGTTGGGATGACAGGTGGGATCATCACTATTATATAGATCTGAGTGTGTCTGATGTCAGATCAGTCGTTTCCATTATCTCACGGCTCTTTTACTGCGCGCATAGGCAAGAATGGGGCAAGACGAGACAGTCTGCGACGATGACAACCCATGACGGGCTTCTTCCCATCCCTTCTAGATGCCGTTCCCGCTTTCTCTCACACATGGGATCGTAACCGAGAAGGCAAGCCTGCTCTGCCTGCTTTCTGTCTTGCTCAGCCATCAGTAAACGCCGCCTCGTGGAAGAGTGTGTCTAGGTCGAGGTCGTAACGTGCCGCAAAGTACTACTCATGGCCCCGACCACCCCCTTAGCGACGATCATACTAGAATAATGGGATGAAATAGCCATGGTGCGGCAAGGACGTCACGGCCATCATTGTGGCCCAAGTCGTCCGCGTGCTGCAAAGTGCCGTCCCAACTGGCCTCACACGCACAGTTTGTCTCATGTCGCCTGGATCGAGGATTCACTCAGGGAGCATGGGGGTTCGGATGGCCGCCTCCATCCAGTCTCTTCTATTCGGGAACACGGCCGAATTGACAGGGAGGTGCCCTGCTGCCAACTCATGGTTGCTTCGGATTCTGCATGCGCCCAACCGGCCTTCTTGAAGGGATTGCGGTGACCGCAAGTGGTTCAGGCCAGGGCGATGACGGCTTGAAGCGAGATAGTTAAGTTAGAGCCCCTGGTCAAAAAGCAGCCAAAATGACGAAAGAAGAATGGTTTGAATGGGGAGAAAATCCAACCGCATGGATCATCTGGAGGCGAAGGGATTCGAAGAAAGGGGTCTCTGCGCAACAGTGATGTGCCAGAGGGCCATTCAGGGATTAGCGTCCCCCAACGTGCCCCTAACGTCCCCCGGGCCGAGCGCATCACATCCCTGTAGCTTTCCAATCTTTCTTTGCTTTCGGGGCCGAAGCGATGAGGAAGACGAGGGAAGAAGTCTTCTCCAGCACCCTAAAACCCCCCCGGCACGCTCTAAAACGCGGCATCGTGAGATAGAATCCACCATCATGGGGCCTCCACTTGGAAGCGGCATGAGGTTGACTTGGGCACCCGGCAATTGTCCACCATTCAGATCCTTTCTGTCTAGCTTGTTCCCCCAGCTTCGGCTACCACGAGAGAGTGGCTTGCGACATGATGCTCTCGGGGTTTTAGGGACTGTATCCTGTGAGAGGGGAACAGGACGACAGTGAGCTGGTTTCGAGGGCTCTGCGACGCTCAAGAAGAGTTGTGCTGGGTTGATGATGCTGACGCGCGAGAGAGCCAGGACTTTGGGCGATGGGACGACGTTGAGTCTTTTCTCAAGTGCCATCCGATGGCAAGCTCAACCTCATCCTACGGCACAGAGCTGTCAGAGCATGCGGTGCACCAGTGCGAAAAAGAATGGTGCTGGGTTGCATTGCCTCGTACGAGTCGTAGCATTAAGCTCGTCAGGCACCGAGGGTGGCTACTGGGAGGCTGAGAGTTTGAAATGCTCAAGCGCTTTTGTGTGTCACACATGGCCCAGTGGCACGTAGGTCATTTAATTAAAAAGTAATCTATCGCCAGTGCTTGTATTGTGGGCGGGAGTTAGTCCTCCCGGTCGAAAAGTCCGATAAATTAACTGAACCCGTGGCTCTGGTCCTCACATATCCTCCCCAGATCATCCAGTCCCGAAAGATTTAGAGCTTGTCCTTAAGACATGTCAGTTTCCCCGTAAATGATGTTCAATGGGATGAAAAGTATGTTGCAAATTCACTGTAACGAGAAACATCTCGTTGATCTGCGGCTTGACGAAATCTGATCCGAATTACTCATCAATCATTATGTGTTTTTGCTTGCTCATAGCGTCTTCCCTTGTCGTCGATCCAGATTGACTTTCTATGCTCAGTGGCAGCTGTCAGTCTCACTTGGCTCTTGCATCATACCCATTGCCTCTGCTCCCAGTCTCGCTCTTTATTTCCTCTTCATTCCTGGCTCTCTAGCCACTGCACGCCCAGCGACGCTCGGGCTAGAGATCAACACAACTCACATGGGTGCCACCGTAGAATGCGACGCGAGACCTGGCAAGCTAACTGAACCCCGGACCGGCGACGTTCGCTTCGGAAGCGCCTATTTCTCGATTCCTCCCTCCCCCTTCGACTTCGGCAAAAGACTTGCCGTAGCCCTGGCTAAATTGCATTGGTTCTCTAGCCTACCAAGAACAGCAGGTCAGTGGTTGACCGCCATTGACAACGTCCAGTCCAGTCACAAAAGGTCAGGGTCTGTCAGGGATCTGTGCCATCCTTGGGCCCGCAGTCCATCCCATTTGGGTAATCCCAGATTTCGAGATCGCATCGATCAAACAGCCTCATCAGGGGTTCCTGAGACGACTCCAAAACCTTATGGGTCTCGACCCGGTCCAACCAAACAACAACACTGAAGAACTTGCCTTTTCGGGCTTGTCAGCCTTTTGACCGAGCAATACGTGCCGTCCATCTCTTACAAAGGAGCTAACCAGCTGGTCATTTTTTCCTCTCTGGTGAGAACATCCCAGGCTTGGTTCCCAACGTAGTCAAGACGCTTCACTTGCCAGCTTTCGGTTCGAGGCCCGCCAAGCCGAGGCAGGGCGAAATTCTCTTTTTTCAGCTTCTGTGCCAAGAAGTTGTGTTTGATCTGTGCTTCTCTCCAGTCTTTTCCCAAATTCTGTTTATTTTTGAGATGACTACATCAATAATCTGCTGCAACTCCTGTGATCTTGGAATAGATTCAAGCCGTCTTGGCTGGAACGGATCACAGAAATGGCGTACCACGACCCAACGATACATCCTCAGCCAGAGTTGAAGTCAACCTAACACAGGTTAAACAACGATAGGTCTGGATCTTCAGTGAGCCATACGTCTGCCTATTGTATCCCTGTCATCGTCCTACCGAAATTGCTTAGATTTCTCGACGCTCCAAGACGCGGCTGGCGACAGACAGCCAGATCTCGGAGGCTTACGTCCATGCACACGACATCTGGCCTCGGCGAAGGGTCGGGAACCGTATTAAGAAGGCCTCCCTCGTCTTTGACTCAGCCTGCTATCGAGTCAGGCAACTTACAAGTCCTTCCACCTCGTCTTCCTCATCCTCTACTCATCGCATGACATGATCTCCTCAAGCCTCCCCAGCCCCGAGGCTCGCCGGACTTCCGAACAGAGCTGATTCATTCAGATCCGTCTCATGTCTCATTTCCTGCTCGTCTGAAGTCTAGATTTCTTCCGTCGGTCTGTCGCTTTCTTAATTCCTTCTATTAACTACGCTCTTCTTCCCTTCCCCGAGACCTAGGGAGAATCATATCTGCCGTCGCTGCAATAGCCGCTCCCTGGTTCCGTCTGAAGCTCTAAGGTCTAGAGCCGGAGCCCCATCTCACGGCATTACGTGCTCGCTTTCTCGGCGCATTGTGCTCCCACCCACTTACATTTCGGCCTGATTCTCATCCGATCTTTGGGAATGGGAAGGTATAGAGGTTTTTGACTCTCATGCCGGCATTGCGTGTCAAGAGAAATGACTTCCTCTCTCCGAGATCAAAGTTCGGTATGTCGGATTTCGTGCCACTTCCTCCAAGGCGACATGAAGCCATGCTTCACTTTCTTTCAATTCAGTCCCGGGATTCCTTCATCGACCGATTGCACTCAACTCCTTTCTCCCGTGTCATGATTCTTGGTGCAGGCATTCGAGAAGAGTTTTGACTTGGCCTGCGGGCAATTCTTGAGTGTATCTCAACTACTCGACCTCTAGTGTTATTTAGTCGCCGGGACCACCTCTGCTGCTCAATATTCAAGATCTTCTCTGTCAGCTCATTTGATTTCAGCTGCTGATGGAGAGTTAAGTACGTTTCTTATATATGTTCAATTGAGTTTAGACTCTCCTCGTTTCCCTCAATAGATTGTTTTCCCTTGCCCTGTGTTGTCACATATATTTTCGGCAAGAAAAAGGTAAGCTGAGTTACTTTATGTGCATTTCGTATAAGCGCTGAGGAGACGTCAGCAAGGTAGGCCTCGTCCCACTTCAGAGTGATGCTGACCCTGCGGATACGCGATATGTTTTTCTTCCATAGGTCCTGAAGTCTCAATGGCGTCCGTGACCGGCTCAGTCTCATATTGGGTTGTTAAGGTTGGCTAGGGAGAACCAGGTTGACGGCGCAAATTGGAAGTCGCTCTTGGCAAAGAATGTGTCCATGACTTCGTTTCGTATTGTTCCCTATGTTACGAGAAGAGTTGGTCTCAGACAGAGGCAAGTTTCTGCTGTCTTTGAACAAACGCGACTGACCACCCTTTTCCAGTGAAGCTCGCTGTAGATGTAACTGAGGTTAACCCAGAGCCTTTTTTGTAGAGGACCCGTGTCTGAGTAAGGTACTCATAGATCATGTCGCGCAACTCTCTGAGAAGGCGGAGAAGTGCTGGGAATCGGGCCTCCGAAGTTGGTGAAGTTGGCGGACTTAGTGTGGTTGGCTTGGGATACTGTCCATAGCTCCGAACCACGCGTTTTACGCGAAGTCTTGATTCGTTATATGCCATAGTAAAGTCATGTTTCTCTTGAGGCTGTGACAGAGTCGAGCTTTTGGTCGGTCTTCGCTAAACGTAGTGTCTCGACTCTCAAGTGCCTCTTCTGGGTTGAGTTTAGGAACTTCTCATAGAAAATGAAATATCTTGCGAGTTGTCGAGTGTTTCATACAAAGTCGCGATTGAGTTTCCCTAGCTTGCTCTTGTAGCAACATTGTGTTCACAAAATAAAGGCTGTTATCTCTTACCGAACACAAAATGAATGAACCTATTTGAGAAGTCATTGTGCGGTAATTCAGGCTAGAGAACAATGCCCACAAGGAGTTTCATATCCTCAGACTACTTAACTTACCTCAGACTACATGTGTGCCCTCACAGCTCTATTGAGTCTTTTGAAGGCCTAGCAACCTTATTAGTAACAATGAAAGCGAGTCATCCTTGAGAATGATCGCAATGCCGCGAACTTTGGGGACTAGGCACCAATTGAGCTCCTAAATCTCTCCATCATAGAGTGTTAGGCAGCATGGTTATCTTCCAGATGCCTACCAGTTGATTGAGGACCGTAAATTTGGTTTCCTTATCGTCAGTATCTTTGCAACTTGCTCAGGACTTTGTACACGTGGCTCCGGATCTTGTAAGACACGTTAAACGTTATTACTTCGGCGGCCATCCGATAAGTCTCAGTACACCATTCCAGACCTCTCCCTAGTCTAGTTTGCCCGATCACAAGGCCAGTCGAACTGCTATCAGTGGCAGTTATGTGTAAGATGCCAGATCATCTTCTTTCTTTACAATCATGTCCCCAATTCAGTGATTTAGAGACCGGTGCAATCTCAGTTGATGTCATTACGCACCCGATTTGCGGTGGTTGAGTACTAGTAAGCTTCCATCAGCGACAGAACCTGCTATTGAGGTTGCTCATAATCGCTTACGACATTGTGAGTAATTTCTCACAAATCGGCGGTTTAAAAAGATCCTCTTTTCAGGTGATTCTTTCATCTGACTCGACAGCTAATTTGTCAAATCACACCATGACATAGTGATAGCTCGAAAGACATCGCGATTGGAGTTCTAGGAGGTATGAAAACAAGTACGCTTTAAGACTTTGAACCTGTTGATTTGTACTCGCGAACTGAAGACCATGAGACAGCGGACTTAGGGTTATGGAGACCCAGCCTCACTTACTTTGATTCATTGCAGTCATGACGAAGCCGCATATAATATGGATTACTTACGAGTATTGTAAGCTGGAAGTATGTCCGACTCGGCCTGTCCTAAAATATCCCAGAGTCCAAAATTAAGAATATTTTCTGAGAAGGGTTTTGCGAGTTGATGGTCTAGTGTCATACTTGACAGGTCAATATTGGTTCTTTCTACAAATTAAATGTCCAATCCAAATGTGAAGTCGAATTTGACATCTGATTGTGAGAGCCTTCTCAAAGAGTCTCTGAGTGCTCGATCAGATTCGCCTTTCTTGGAGATATTTCTTGCTTAGAGAATCGGCTTCCAGGACGACCGTATTTGCAGAATCTCACCATTTCGTACCATCGTAGCAACTTAAGTCGCACCGAAACCTCCAGGTTACGACTCTTTCTCTAAATAATTACATCCGTCGTTCTTCGTCGAACCTTTTCGAAATTTTGTTCTCCGCCTTAAAGAGACCAATAAACTGTAATGCTGTGTAAGCTCTCACATAGTCTCAGCAACTGACTGATACCTCTCAAGGTCGACCACAGCACAGCGAATGTCTGACCACATAAGAACAACTTATATCAATATTGATTGTAAATTCCTTCTTCTACGTGTTTGCACTACAGCGAGGAGAAAGCCAAGAATTTGCGAAATTGATGTGGTTAGTAACGGTGGTTATCTTCCTAGGTTTGAAACTATTGCACCCAGTTGATCAAAGCATTAACCTGGCCAAAGAGCACGAACAATGCTCTTGACCCTCTGATAATGCTCAATTCATGAAGTACCTTTGATTGAAATACTAGAATAGTGCGACGACTTGGTCTAAGCTTCATCGCGGCTTTACCCAAGCGGGCACACCGGAAGGATGGGCTCCGTCGCTGTCTTGAGTCTGAGGACATAGAGGATCCGAAAAGGATCTCGCCCACTACCCAGCAATTGATCGCCCGCCACGGCTGGAAGCGAACCAGCATATAGACCGCATGGGTTCGGAGCGATGGTGTTGCAGCCATCGCTTGCATGGCGCCTAGGTGACAGGCCGCTCCTCAATCCTAAGAGGACGACGAGAACTAAGCGAGACACAATTGATTGAACCACTACCGACGATGTGACTGCGTCCTTCCCGCGATCTACAAATACCAGAAACGTCATGCAAACCAACTATAATTCAACGACACTGCCCGGATGTATTTTTTCTTTTAGAGTTCGCACGACGGCATTATCTGTATCTTCCTAGGATTCAAGAGCACGTGCAGCAACTCTCAAGTTATGATGTTTAAGATACCTAAAGCAGAGCTTGGAGTCTCTGTGCCGAATCCTTCTCTACTAATTTCTTCTCGTGCGTAGATTAATGGAATGTCAAAAGAGTGTGAGTCTCGTGGCGCACCGTTCAAACAGTCGCCTATCCTTGAGAGTTGACTTCAATGTTTGAGCTCAATTTTTCGCAACACCAAGAACGTTCTATCGCGACAACGGCATTTCATTTTCCCGTCGCCGCCACCGCCACGATCGCGTCTGTCGCCTGCGCCTCATATTCCCAATCGAAGAGGGAGCCGCCAAGACGCGAAAAGGCCGTGGAGCAAATGCGCGGCCGCCATCAACTGCTGAACAATGCATCGCTCATCGAACATGAACCCAGCAGGGCCGAGCCGATTGGCAGACCAGACCTGCCAGTACCACTGAACACGAGGATTGGAATGCGACGGTGCTAGTTGACTCGACTCATGCCCCTCCTCTCCGGTCGTATCCGTGTTGTACAGCCACACTCCGTGCCGCGCAGATCTGGCAGCGGATCTGGAGCAGACGACGGGAGCTGAACGACGGGCAGTCCAGGAATTCAACTTCAGCGATCGACCGAGACAGTGTCTTGTTGCATTCTGAACACTGATGACGAACTCGAGTCAATCCTACGAATGAATGGAGATGGGGCGGCGGCCATCATAGTTTCGGGCCCATCTGCTTCTTCGTACCAACAACGGCAATGTGAACACGAAAACTTTGGGAAATACGCAATCAACACTTTCCCCCCAAATGTTTTCCACCCGCTGGGCAGCAGCAATTGCGACTCGCGGCTCGAAACTTGCCGCGCTGAACAGGCACAGCCTGGGTTGTCAAGCTGACAACTGACAACTAAACTCCAAGGCTTACCTTACCATCCGCAACTCTGCCGCCCCCTTTGCCCGCCCATCCCGAGAGGGGGATCCAATTTCTACGCGCTGCGCACCCGCGGCTGGGCGTTCTGACGTCGTCTGGTGGGGGGACGTTTTTTTTGCCCTTCCAATCCCCCCTCCTCCCGTCCCATCCCTCCAGGAAAAAGCCCGTGAGGCCCTGACCAATTCTGGCGAGTGTACGGATAGACTGGGGTGGAACTGGGCAGAGAAACCTTGGCCAAGTCTACCAGGTAGCCCTTGTCGCTAAGCGTTCTGTACCTGCGTCTGCCCAGGTTTTGCCCAGGCAATTTTCACGCCCCCTATTACTGGCCTCAGGCCGCCTTCGAATCCTTCGACGAACCTGAATTTGGGAGGGATTTTTTGTACGGAATTATCAGTGGGTCGAGAGTCGGCACATATCCACACCGAAATGGCGGTTCCCTGTCCTTAATAGGCCATACCAAGAGCCTCGGCGGACAGCTCCTTTGCTCGCTTGGAGATGTAAAGTGGATTCATCACCGCGAGCTCCGGTTCGTTGCATAACTTTGCCATGGTAAACGTGTGCGCAATTCTCATCAATGGAGGTGGGGGGCCATAGCGAAGCGAAATGTCAGCAACAAAAGAGCATTCCAAGGATCACATAATATTGGGTCGGAATTGAATATAGTAGGTTATCTTGATTCAAAGTGCGCGTTGATGAATGATAACCACCCTGAAGCCCCTGCCATCCGATGATATATGCGTATATACAAAATATGATGTGATCATTATCCCAATGTCCCTGAAAAATTCATTATTCTAGTTGGTGCAGATATCAATGCTCGCTAACAAAAAATAGCCAATGTCCAATGTACACATTACCATTGTATGGTCTGTTTCTCGTTTTTGATTCTCTTATGATGATGCCTTGATCTCCATCGATAGGGTCGGTACGCGGAACGTGACAACGTTGGTGGCTGAGAGCGCTTCGGAACCAAGACCCATGTAGCCGAGATATGTCGAGGTCGTAGGGAAGTTGGCGTTGGTCATGGTGGTAAGCTTCGTCAGAAGGGGGGCGAGATCGCCGACAAAGTGCTCGATCGTTGCCGTGGCCTTCCAGGTCAAGACGTATTGGCTCAAACTATTTTGTCCAAAGAAGAGTTGGCTGCAAGGCAAGTACTATTAGCTTTGACTCCCAGAATCCCACATTCCAATCAAGGATATCGGGGAAGCAGCAACTTACAATGTGGTTCCGTTGATCGTCTCTGTGGTAAGTGCGCCGGCGCCATTTTGGTAACCGATGGGCTGTGTCGCTGCGCCAAATGTGCCAAACCACACCATCACTTCGTACTTCGCCTTGGTACTGTCTTGCGCCGAGGTCTTGTCGTCGTCCAAGAACATATCGATGGCGACGTTGGTGTTGGTGTCATTGTCGGTAAGCTCAGTCTCGTCGGTGTTCGTCGCAGCTGCGCCATCGGTGGTATAGTTGCCGACAGAGTAGGACCACTCGACATCTACGTTAATGTTTGAGAGCTTGGGAATGGAGACCGGGAGAGAGCTGCCGTCGACCTTGATGTTGGGGAAAGCGTGGACGGGCTGCGTCTCGGGGCCACGGGGGTAGCGCCATGTGACGTAGAACTCGGGGGCGCTGAAGTCGGTATCGTATGTCTGGTTGTTGAATGTGGTAACCTGAGGCGGGGAGCGACGGGTTAGCTGCGCTGCTCATGGTTGATGGCCATGCTCGGCGACACTGCAGCTTCAAGCTATGCAAACGTTGAAGCTGCAGTGGAAGGCTTGGCCCTGGTGATACCAAACCCCGCGATGAAGATGGGCGGAGGAGGGGTTAAGAGTCAACGTACATTCATACACAAGAGACCATCTGTGCCTTCTGTCCAACCCCACTGGTTCGGGTTCACTGTTGCGTCAAAACAGAAATCGTCAGCATGCTGTTGTCTTGTTGTAATAAAGAAAAGATCCCGCGTGCATCTGCAAGATCAGGAAGGCCAGCCAACTGGACCGGACGGCCAGGTTGCGCCCGCCCACCCAGGTTTCGCATTTCAAGGGAGCAAAAGTCAAAACAAATCTACGGCTCATGCCATGAAGCATGACAAGGTCCGCGGGCCAGAACACACAAACAAAACACGGGAGTCCGTGTTGTTCCCAAAGAAAAACGCAAAATAGTTCAGATGACATAGAGACAGACAGCGCGCAGAGCATCCGCAACGGGAGAGGCTTGACTGCATCGTGGTGTTCGGCCCGTACCGCCGCATGTTGCGGAGAGGCAGGTTCCCGTGGAGGAGACAGGCGACGATGAAGACATCGCGAAAGACTGATGAGAAGGACTTGACTTACGTGTGTACTCCTGACCCTTGGACAGAGGGTGAAGACCCATTGCCTTGTCGCATGATACCATTGCCGTGATGCCATTGTTCTTTGGTGTCGTGCCCGGGTTGTCAGGCTCGGTGAAAATTGGCGATTGTCCGTTTGAACTCCTGCCAGCGTCGATTCCAATGAGGATACCGAGAGTCGCTCCGATGGGGACGGCCAGCAACACGAAGTTGACGACCCAGCGGAAGCCGAGGAAAGGCATTTTGAATAAGGAAAAGAGAGAGTAAGGAAAACGAGCGTAAGTGAATGCTTTCTACGTCTCTCTTCGAGCTGTTTTGCTGCAGTGATCCCTTCCAAAAGACGACGATGCGGACAGGCTCAGGCGGAAATCCGACGCAATTCGTCTACTTCTATTCGCAGCAGCACATGCAGAGGAGCGAAAGTGGTGTCGTCGGTGACGGTCGGATTCTGGTTTAGGTATGGGAGGGTAGGTAATCGATTAGGTGGGTGGGAGGTTCAGGTAAGGAGAGGTTCAAGCCAGGTCTGTCTGCTCAGGTAAGGGTATGTCAGGGAACGCGGGCGCGGGCCTCGACTCGTGCAGGTATCCAGGGGACAGGGAAAGGGGGTGTGGAAAGGGGGCGTGTCTGGATGATCCGAGCACCGTTGGGTGAGGCTTGCTGTCTGCGTGGTAAGAAATGCAGTCACAGGCCACAGCAGACAGCAGAGTCAGACAAGTAGACAGTCGGCGAGCAGAAAGGCTCCAGACGAGGCTTGTTCAGTCGGCAGCAGTTAACTGTACGACGTACGTCAGGGCCTGGGATTCGAGCGCAAGAACAGGCCAAGCCAAGTGAGGATATTGGAAAAGGAAACGCAGAACTGAGGCGCGTCGGGCAAACGAACGTCCAGAAAGAGTCTACGAGGATAAGAACCCCTATCCTCAACCGCGGCGCAGCACGCCACCCCGGAAAGGCTTGTCCTCTTTCCTGCAGCCAGTGCAGCAGACTGTAATTACCTCGTCCTCCTTGCTCGTGCTTATGTTCACCAATTGCTCTGCCAGTCTGAATCCCAAACAAACCGGGCGGAACGCGATGGGCAAGAGAGAAAAAAAATGAAACGAAAGGATCAAAGTCCTGGAGCAAGCAGACGGTGTAAAGCCTGGTCCGTTGGGGACGTTTACACCGGCGAGGATCTATCTGGGACCGGCTGTTCTTTTTTTTTTTTTTGCCTCCTCAAAAATAAACCCCCTTCCAATGCTGAGTCCTAACTTGTGTACGGATAGTATGCGGATATGTGGTGGTCCATCCATTCCATTCCATCATCCCGTCGTTCCCCCTCCTCCGAAAAGGCCCAAAGCCCAAGCAAACTTTTGCCAGCTAGACCGGACATCTCAGATCACAAAATCGACGATTGCAGGTCCTGCTTCTAAATCGGACCGGCCCCTGGCCTAGCGCCAGTCAATGTGCCGGCTGCCTTCGGTCATCCTTGCATAAAATGGTACCCGCATTTCTAGAACACGAGAAAAAAGCAGGGATTTGTGAAGATAACGGCCCTGCAAGTGGATAAGAACCAGACTGCCATCGACGGCCTTGGACGCGGACTCTGGGATGGCCCTGAAAGTCATTGGACGGTCCTGGGATGGCCCTCATTGGCGAACTTTGTCATCCGAACAGTGGGCTCGGCCCCTCCTCGAGGAAAAAGAAAATAATAGGAAGCACAGCAAAGGAGAGCGCAAAGACTACCCGAAATCAAGGTTCAAGAGTCAAGATTCAGAAGAGAGAGAAAGAGAGACAGCTGCCCGGTTGTCCCTGTCTTGCTTGCTACAGAGCATCGCGGAAGAGGTGGGAAAAGATCAAGGAACTTGGCTCGAGTCACCATTCATGGCAGCTTTTTTTTTTGTTTTCCTTTTCTACGACCACTAGCCGTACTTTCCTTCCCCTAATGTCTTTCAAGTGGAGACTCTTGGCCCCTGGTTATGTCCATCTTTTTTGACCGAAACATCCAATCCTTTAGTGAGCATATGCGAGCGGACGAGGGAGAACGTGCCCATAGGCGGCAGACTCTCCACTAACTCGACCCAAGGATCAAAATAACATAGAAAAGAAAACAACAAACCAACGGCGCGGCGGTCGAACCCAGCCAGTAGGCTTTCGGGGTTGCGAGTGGCTTGATGGACTTGCTAGGCAACACAAGCTAACCTGATCCCCGGCGTCCGCGCGCCGCTCACACCCTTCCTGGAGACCTCCCACACCCCCCCCTTCCCTTCCCTTAGGACCATGACTGCTGAAGCAAGCGCTTGGCTGTCTCCCTCCATGCCCAGTCCAGCTGGCTTGGTATCTGTTGCCAATGCCAATTCTCTCTATCCCACCCGGCTGGCACGACCTCTCTACGGAGTACTATGACTATGTATGCATAGGGCTATGTAGGAGAATCAGAGTCAACTCCGACACTGTCTTCAGAAAGCAAAGAGTACGAAAGCGAATAGGCATTGGGAGGCAATAACCCAGGACAGCTTGGCAAGGCAGGCCACTCGAATCCAAGGTGGCACAGACCTGACCCGGGGCGAAATGTGAAATGGGGCGAGTCCATCACAGATTCACCATCCTCGCGCCCAGACTGGACAGGCCGATGATGTGGGCTCCATCAACCTGGACCTCCCAATTTTAATCACGTCAGGCTCTCGTCGGATCGTAATCAGGGCAGTGAGGCTTAGCGGAGTCCGAGTGGGTTCCCGTTAAGTCATGTATGTCCCTGATGTGTCCGCGGGCCCTCCCAAGCAAGCTCCTAGTCCCATGTCTTGCTTGCCAATTGCTCCTTTCCCCCAGACTGATCCCGTTCCCGTTGACCTTACCCCCCGAGAAGCACAAGAGAAGAGAAGCCCGGCCTTTTGTCAATCCGTCTCTTTTCTTGTACACTCCCTCCCCCAGACCTGACCGGCATTCTGATTCCTGTCTGTCAAGTCAGTCCAGGCTCTTGGAAGTCTGTGTTTGGGTGCCACTTGTGCAAAAGCTCCTCCTGTTGGATGACATATCGGTCGATGCTCCTGTGCTACAACTCCTCCTACATGTACTAAGCGGGTCGACTTCTTTTTTCCTTCGATCCCAATACTTCTTCCCTTTACATCACCACCCACATTCGTTTTTCAACCAAAACGTCCGTCCAAGTCTCGAACTGAACTTGGCGGAAGAGAAAAGAGCAGGGAGAGCGAGACGCGCGGGGATTCACTATTGTTCCTGTTTTACCTGCGACCCAGCCTCTTACACACACTCTGGCTGTCCCTTTGGTTTCGGCACACACACACAACGTTTCCGCCCTAGACACGCTATTCACTCGTTCATTCCAGCCATCGGTTGGTCAACACCGCAATCATGATGGGGGGACACGGAAGACCGCAGCAGGGTCAGGATTACCCGGAGGGGGAAATGGTGGAAATTGATGTTCTTCAAGGACATCATCACCCTCACCAAAATCAATATCAGCCGCCGTATCAGAACAACAACCAGCAGATGCAGCAAAACCAGCAATACCAACAACCTCAGTACCAGGAGCAATACCAGGAGTACTCTCAAAACCCGTATGGTAGCCCGTACCAGAACGAACCGACCCAGTCCCAGGAGCAATTCGGACGCGCCCTGACGAATAACGCACCTTCTCCGTACCAGCAACAGGAAGGGTTCCAGCCGCCGTACAACCAACAACAACAGTACCAGCAGCCTCACGCTGTCTCCGGGGACGAGTTGTACGGACCTCCCGGTTGGGCAAACCGTCACTCGATAGGCATGGCTGGCGCACCTTCAATCGGGCCCTCGATCTCGGGGATGGACACGCCGGTCGAGTCCCGCTCAGCGACGCCTACGCTGAAGAGCGGCGCGAACACGCCGTTTGATCACTTGGCTGCCCCGAGGCATCCGTGGTCGACCGACTCGACGCCTAACAGCCCTATGGTATAACAACTCTTGATGATTTTCCAATGGTTTCGAAGTCCGCTAACAAGATGAACAGAATCAGAGCCACCAAAGTTTGCAAAACTTGCTCCCCGGACAGGCCTCACCGGTCCTCGCCAAGGAGTGGGTTGAGGGCAGCGACCAGATTGCGAGACTTCACAAGCGCGACGACTCCGACATCTGGGGCGGCTGGAAGCGCCACGTCTTCCGCATGGTTCCTATTCTCACCATCCTCGCTACCGGAATGTACCTCGTCTACCTCGCTCTTCGTATCTACTGCGTCATCTCTGCTCAGCAACTCGCCAAGGAAATCTATGCTCAGGCTTGGGTCTTCATCGCCGTCGAAATTACTGTTGCCATTCCCTCAATTATGCACAACATCTGGACCATGTGGTCCATGAAGAAGCGTCAGCGCCCTAAGTTGAGACTTATGGGCGAGGATGTTCCCACCGTCGATGTTCTGCTCACTTGCTGCGGTGAAGAGGATGATTTGGTTCTTGACACCGCCCGCGCTGCCTGCGACGTCGATTACCCCCGCGACCGGTTCCGCGTCATTATCTGCGATGACGGCAAATCCGAGGGCCTGGAGAGCGGTATCGCAGCCTTGGCCATGACTTACCCCAATGTTCACTACCTCTGCCGCCCCAAGTACCCCGGTGTGCCTCACCATTTCAAGGCCGGTAACCTGAACTACGCCCTCGATTTTGTCCACACGATGCCCGGCGGCGCTGGTCAGTTTATGGCTGCTCTCGACGCTGATATGGTACGTTCAAACCAGCCACAGCTCACTATACCCTTCAATGATGACCCCGTCTCCCGCGATTTTAAGGTTTCGCCCAATGTTCAACCTCAGCTAACTCTGAACCTGCAGATCCCCGAGCGCGACTGGCTCCGTGCCATTCTGCCTCACATGCTCATTGACCCCAAGGTGGCCCTCGCCTGCCCCCCGCAGCTGTTCTACAACACCCCGCCATCCGATCCTCTCGCCCAGTCCCTCGACTTCTTCGTTCACGTCATTGAGCCCATCAAGGACGCCCTCGGCGTGGCCTGGTGCACCGGTTCCGGCTACTGCGTACGTCGTGAGGCTCTTGATGAGATAGGAAACTTCCCCCTCGGCTCCCTGGCTGAGGATGTTGCTACTTCTACTTTGATGCTCGGAAAGGGCTGGAAGACGGCCTACATTCACGAGCCCCTCCAGTTTGGCACCGTCCCCGAGGATTATGGCGGCCATCTCAAGCAGCGTACCCGCTGGGCCATTGGTACCGTCGACACGTCGTTCAAGCTCAACTTCTGCTTGTACGGTGAGAAGGTCAAGCAGATGACGGTCGCGCAGCGTTTTTCCGGCTTCCTCTACGCTACACTCAGTCTGTACACGATTCTCCTGACCCTCTCCATGTTCGCCATCCCGATTATCCTGGTCATGGGCAAGCCCCTGGTCGCCTACGCCAATTATGAGCAGCTCCGCTGGCTCATCCGCGCCTGTTTTGCCGCCACGCTCACCAACCGTTTGTGCGAGTTTGCTCTCTTCATCCCCGCGGGCTACCACACCGGCCAGCGCGGTTCTCGTTACCAGCTTTGGATGTCTCCGTACATCGCGCTTTGCATCATCCGCTCATTCATCCTCCCCACCTGGCTCGGTGGTCAGACGCAGGCCTTCAAGCCCACCGGATCCCTCGGCTCCGCCCTCAATGAGCGCGACCCCAAGACCCGCAAGGGCATGTTCCGCCGTCTTTGGGGTATCCTGTTCAACTACATGGCAATCTTCCACCTGGCTTTCGTCTACCTCACCCTTGTCGGCGTGGTTCTGACCTCGTACCGCTGCTTCTACGTCAACGATGAGCTCCGCGATATCCTGATGTGTCTCATCACCCACGCCTTCTGGCCGCCCCTGACTTTCATCTTCATCTGCAGCTCGCTCTGGACGCCTATCGCCTACGCCATTGACCCGCCGAACATGCCGGACCGCGAGCAGCTCCTCGAGCGCGACCCCAAGACCTTTGTCGCCCACCCGACACCTCAGAGCAAGAAGATTGCCTTTGGCGGCCAGGCTGCGTGGTTCGAGACCGAGTTGACCGTCACCTCGGCCTACACGATCCTCGTCTTCGTCCTCTCCTTCATCTACTAGATTGCTTCAAACCAACTCATAGCATCGTTGTTTTATCACACACACATAACGCGCGGGACAGGCGGCGCCTACGGGACGCGCTTAACATTTGCACACGGCACAATGTGCGCGTATCACAGACGTACAAAACCAAAGATGACTGTTACGATAATGTAATGCCTGTAACTACTGCACATAGATCAGTATAGAATTACGCAACAATAAGGGGGGCGCGGAATATGTCATCATCATCATCATCCCCTGCTGGAAGGGAAATCAGGGTCAACAAACATTATACATATTTCTCATCATGTTCGAAATCAGAATACATAAAAACATTCATAAAAAGCTTCTCCACAAGTTCCAAATGCCTCAAAAGACTATAGAATGCGTAAACCAAATTCGGACTCTTGGCATAATCAGCCATTGGTTTCAGAGGCGCTACTCTTTTTCCCGCGCGAAGGAGAAACATCCCTCGGGAAAAACACACAAGTGTCCAGTTTTCCAATGAATTGGTCCGAGCTATCAAAAGCCTACATACACTATACAGTCTGGCTGCATGTGTGCAAACTTGTGCCTGAGCTTGTCCAGCTTTGCCTACGTGTGGCGTGCGGGAAGGCTGGCTGCTAAGACAAGCTGCCACTAGCCGAGCCTCTCATTCGTCATGGACACCAGTTCGTCGTCGTGCTAAAAGCCCGCGCCTCGTTGAATGTCTCGCTGAAGTCGCTGCGAATGTGCCCTCAGTTGGTGCTAGTCTGCACTCAGGAATGCGGACAAAACGCCGAATCGACTCGATGGCACGGTGAGGTTCCAATTTGCACAATGGTGGCTCAGCACAGCCCGTTTTCCTTTCCTTCTGTTATCGATTATCCCGCCGATGTTTCTCTTTGCAGCGGTTGTCGCGCAAGAAGCATCACAATGGGATTGGCATGGTCACATCAGGTTGCCATGCTACGAGTCACTGATCCAGGAAACGACCAGCCACCTGCAGACCGTTACTGTGTATCACGAAAAGAAAACCGGCTTGGCTGATGTCGTTCTATGATCTGCCCGGCTGTCATGCCGTGTAATGGTTGCACCGTATCCGTATCGCTTGTTGCAGTAACAACCGCGGCTCCCATCCGGACGCGAAAAGCCACTCGCCAACATCGGATTCGGACCTCCCCCTCTCTATGCAGACTCTAACAGACTTGCAGTTCGAATCCCGACTCCCAAGCTCCCGAGCCTCCCTCCCTTCCTCTCCCTTATCACACTACAGGCTTACGTTCGGCTTTGCCGTGCAGTGGGCAGCCGGGTGCCAGGTGGGGTTCTCCCCCAGCAGTGCAACCCCTCCCCCGGTGCCCGGCACCGCTCCGCGGGCATGAGTATTGGATGATGAGACTCAGAGAGTGTGGAAAAGAAACAACACGGTGCAGATTGCAGAATGAGCTGACAGCCTGGCATTCCATTCCCCATCTGCCGCTCTCGCTGTTCAATTTAATTGAAATAATCCTCCACATCCCCCTCCCCGACTACCCCCAGTCCACGTCGTCCTCGGTCCTACGACGCAACGTGTGCGCCCAGGTGTCAAGTACCCGTCACCCTCTGCTTTGTCCGACCGCCTCCTCCTTTCATCTTCCACAAGATCTTCCGCTGCGTTTCTGCTGTGCCTCCCCAACCGAGTCAACCGGCTGCAGCCCTTGGGACTTTGGACTCTGCGAGTCTCGGAAAGGCCATGTCAGGATTGTCGCCAAGACACAAGTGCCAAGTATTTTCAGACGAACGACGGCCAAGGAAATTGACTTTTGCTAGACCGCAAAGAGGCACCCACCAAGCCTGATGTTGCCCGCCAACGGCGCCAAGGGGGTGTGAGAGGAGAAGAGCCCGCCTGGCGCCACCCCTGAATCGTTAAGGTTTTCCAGGGGCCTGCATCCAGGTTTTTCGTCCGTCACGTCTTCGATTTGCAGTTGCCAGTTGCCACTGCGTACAGCCATTGCTGGCTTTGCGTTCATCTGCATACGGGCAATGGCGTGTGCCTACTACAGGATAAACAGATACCATCGCGCTGCAGCTCTCGGTGAACTTGCGGCCCTTCGATTTGCAACCTTCGGAAATGGAAGAATGAGAATAGTCTATTTTTAGCCTAGTGAATAGCTAGACTGATCGTACGGACTAGATGTGCTTGTCGCACCACGCGGGCAGCCATCCCCGGATCAACGACTGGTGGTGAAAAGTCCCCAACCACTCTGTCGATCACATGCCACCCGACTCCTCACATCTCAGCCAACCGTTGCTGACGAGATTGCTTTTATCGACGCTCGTCTCTTTCAGAGTGGCATCAGATGAGCTTATCCAGCAGCAAAACCTCACCGACTGAACAGTTCGCCGATCTCTGGAGCCGCAATCATAAATCCCCGTCTTGCTTGTTCACTCGTTCATTGGGGCGGGGAGCCGTGGGTGTCGTAGGAACCTGGCAGGGGACTCTCCATCGTGCCAATCCGGCAACGTCGGACCCCGGACGCCGGGGCAACAACTCTCTCCGGAACAACGACGATCCAATGATGCAGAAGTCTCCGGCACGGCAGGCCCACGTCGCAGCTCGCAGACGGATGTAGGGTGACGAACGCTTGCTGGTTTCTCGCGTCGATGAAGGGAAAATCGACTATTGATATCCGTTCGCGATACGGAAAGGTCATAAATTTCAGTGTTGCCATGCATAAAACTAGCTGCTCATTTCCATAGATATCGTCCATCAATAGATTCGTATTCGAAATCCAAGCCATCTGCCGTTCAGAGTTCTACAATCTTCCCAGCAAGTCCAACTGATTCTCTTCCTGCCTAGTTGCAATTCCTAAGTCGCAAGCATCCGCCGCGTCATATGTCCTCTGCATTTCCTTCCATCCTAGGGAGCGTAATTTGATCCTCGGCTCCGACGCCCATACTGAAGCATGACGGGATGTCTACTGCCCCCAAGTTCATGTTGTCCTGCGGTACTGAAAAGGTAAAGTCGCCCATTAAACTTGCATCAAACATCTCAGCTGTTCCATCCCAACCGAAACTGTCTACGGGGAGCTCACCGAGGCTCGTGGTATTCAAGCCGGTGAGTTCCAACCTGCTACCAACCCGTGTTCCAGTACCTGTCGTAGCTGGTGGTGCGCTCGTGGGTGGGCTCAGCACGCCTCTGGAGGCTAATAAGTTTGACAGCAATGGACCGAATGTATGGGCTGTCGCAGGGTTGACTGAGCTATTGTACGATCCCAACACAATAGCACTGTCTACTGAAGAAGCAGCAGCTGGCGTCCCGAGACTGCTGGCGTGAATGTTGCTGTATGGAGTCTGGGGCAAGGAAGGCGCTGAGTGTGGTGCCTGTGGAATGACAGATCGGCTCGACGTCCAATCTTGTCGCAGCCTGTAAAGTACATCACTAATGACTCCTTGTACAAGTTGTCTTTCTTCCTCTGTTGTAAGACCCGGAATAAATCCGCGCGACTCCAACGCTTCGTGAAGGGCCGGTCCCGCTCGGGAATCTAGATGTTCTTGGAAGGCTGCAAGATCTTCGGAAATCTCATGATCCATATATGCAGATCGAGGCCTATGCTTCCCGGGAAAAATGATTTCCCACATTGCGAACCACTGACATTCATCTGACGTTGAAGGGGTTGACCTTTGATGAAGCCTCCTGCTCTGTTCGTGTGAAATCCCATTCAGTGTATCTGAGTCGGAGCGGGAACATGTCCAGCCTCCCTCGGCAGAAACATGCTCACGAAGGGCATTGTCGTTTGTGAAGAGCCTCAGACATCGCTGACAATAGTGTTTGGGTGTGTGACACCTGTTTAGGTGTTGTTTGACGTCGCGAACTCTTGTGAGTTTTCGCCTGGAACATTCATGGTAACTGATGGGATCCGACTTCCAGAAGGGGCAAGCCAGCGAAACTTCATGCTTTCTTTCTTGACGTTGTCTCTTAGCGATCACTTGCTCTGATCCAGGTTGGTCTTCAGCTTTGCGTTTCTCCCTGCCAAACTGCTGCCCGCTGCTTGAAGGTGGACCCTGTATTCGGGTACTTGCCGACAAGAAGGCCGAAGCAGGACCGTCTGCACTCCCTGCAGTACCTCCACGAGTTTGGGGTTGGCACTCATTGAAAAGAGTGTCTCCGACATTTTTGAGAACAATGTACAAGGGATCGTCTTTCGAGAGAGGAGTAATGTTAACCTCGTCTGACACCTCTGACATCGACAAGAAGTCAGAGTCGTACGACAGACTATCTGATTCATCGGCCAGATCATCGTGGCGACTTGCACTGTCTCGACGACATTCTTCTGGAGTGAGATTTGAGAAGGATGGTGTATCTTCGTGCCCCGTACTAGTTGGGTGTGATGTGCGTCGCGTTGTTCTCAAACGCTGATTGCATCTTGCAAAAACTCTGCCCCTGGCCTTGGGGGCCCACGAAGCCAATAAGTCGCCAGAACTTGGTGTCAGTCTGGATTCATCGTCTTGAAGACACAGGCCTAGGCAAGGCTCACAATTAGAACCAAGTAGCCGAAGATGTATGTTGAACGCCTACCTGGTATTATCGCTGTGCGGTCAACAAAATCTAGGATATGGCGGCCGACCATGAAATTGAGCTCCCAACCCAAGTTTTCTTCTTCATCTTTCTTCAAGTCGCCCACGGAAGAACAACTTGGGTTCCTTCCACTCGGAACGTCCTGCCAGAGATGAATGCCGTTGCTGGCATCATACTGCGTCAAAATAATGGTTCTGCAGGTTCCATCTAAGATCATTCGTCCGTCTCGATTTGAAAAAGTGCATTCTCCAATGAAATCTCGAAGAGTCTTCCACGAGACCTCCATTCCATGAAAACTCACTGGACGTCTCAAGATAGGAAACCCTGCAACAATAACAAAACTTTCGTGCAAGACTTGCGTCCATCGTGATGCTTGTGAAGACGAATAGTCTATGGTCTCTTCCCGTGCCGTGATATCGAAGCTTACCACGTCTGTTCCGGGGTCGTGGTATCTCGCCTCATCGGCACTTTCATGATGAATGCAAGGAGTCCGGTTGGATACGTTGCCGTCAAGAGGGCGGGGAATAGCCGCAGAGAGCCACGCAAGTTGTTCGCCATACTCGGCAATCAAGTAGGAGGACCCCTTTACGGTGATGACCAAGTGCTTGCCTTCAAGCCTAGCTCCCAGAAACGTACTAGGGTCATCTTGCACGGCAACTAAGAAGAGTTAAGTTGCAGGGTTAAGTCTCCATCAATATGCATTATTGAAAGGCTAAAAACGAATCCACGTACCAGTGTGAGTTTTGTCAGAAACATAATCTCCCGATCCATTGATGACTGGGTGAATCTGTAGCACGTCGTACAAACTATTCCAACTCGATGGCCACACTTGCTTCAAGTAATTCGTAATCGTAGTTGCTTGACTTCCTTCTGTGCAGTAGGCAACAATGAGAGACTCTGAAATCGATTGAGGGGCGAGCACCTCAGCTTCGTAATTTGCTGGATGCCATACAGACGCAGGAGTGAACGGCCATCCAAGAAGCCGAAATCTGACTTGATGAATCTTTGGTGAATGCTTCTTGCTGATTCTGCCCGTTGGAAGACACTCGAGTATCTTCTGTCGGATCTCTTTTCGTACGTTATTGTTCTTAGAGTTGTCTTGGTCCCACTGCAAGATCATTTCATTATTCAGACGTGCGACCAGACACTTGAATGGATTGCCCTTCAACACAATATCGCGGTATTCCGATATTGGGACAGGCCCCAAAGCGTCCTCTTCTGTATCTTCAATCCCCTGGAATCGATCCTGCTGGGGCGGTGAAGGACAAGACACGCCCACCTTGCTGTTCCAAAGGCTAATCTTATCCTCTACAGACATGCCAGCTACACTTTCACGTGAAGCGTCGATAATCAACTCATCCGACATAGACACAAGCCGTGACCCGATTTGACTACATTGTTTAGTGCATTATCCAAGTATCTATGAGTGCTAATGGCATATGTAAACGGATTCACTCACCGGCCGCGTTTATGTATGAAGTACATGATGCTTTTGTGGTTCTGGGACGTTGAATCGAGTCCAACTTGAATTGCAAAGGCCTTGATCAATTCTGGAAGTATCGACTGCACCGATTGCCAAGCCTTGATGTCTGAACGATGGAATAATTGTTGGCGAATGTCGCTGGCTAATTCGGCAACGTATTGATCCGCTGGGCCTCTGCCGACGGTACTTGCTGCAGAATATGAAGTCTTCGCGTCGAAGTCCTTTCTGATAGTCCTACTTGGTGTAGAAGAGCCTCCTGTTATGCCCCAGGGATGGTAATTGAGGAAGGAATCAGGATGACGGAACGATTCATAGCCAGAATCAGTAGGGGGGGGATTCTGACAGGGATCCTCTGCAACGGCAGCGAGCGGCCACGTAGAAGAGACCGAATGTAGCTGTGCCTCCATGTTATCGTTCACGTTTTGAAGATATCTTGGTGCATTGAAAGCAACATCTGTCAAGGAGAGGTCTCGCTGGTTTGTATACGGGAACTGTTCAGAGAACTGACCGAGAGGCTCGCAGGAATGAGGCGGAGAAAAGCTTCTCGACCGACTGCACAATAGCTGCGTTCGAACAGGGTAGGTGTTCTCTCCGTCAACTCCATAGTCGAAATGATCTGTGAGCGAGCTCTCAACAGCGTGGAAAGGTGATGGGGATAGTCCACTTCTGTAGTCTCCAATAGGGCCTGTCTCCAAGATACCGGATGGTCCAGATGGTGTGAGGTTGCTGTTTGAATTATGAGAGGAATCAGATGGAACCACATCGTGCAATAGAAAATTCTTTGGGCCTGCCATCAGCTGAAATCTCTCATTATAGACGTTTTCAACGAGCATATCCTTGGAAAAGAGCTCTGGTCCAAATGGAAGCGAGGTTGAAATTTCATCTGGGGAGATGAAGTATTCCGTAGCCCTCATGCTGGAGGTAAAGGGCGCACTGCTAGAACGGCTCAGTGTATAATACATGGATTCACCAAAAAGGTCTCGAAGATGTTGAAAAGCTGACCGAATGTCTCCTTCGGTGCCCCTTCTGCTTGTCAAGTCGAACTTTGGCCTGGACTGCTGTTTAAAATCGTCACAGCGTTGAGATCCGCTAGCTTCAGGGTCATCCGCGTACCGAACTGTCGTTGTAGGAGAAGACATCTGGTCATTCTTTGGCAAAGGTTCGATGGGTGAAGCAACGGGACCAAAGCCACATAACGCAAAGGTGGGAACTCGAGTCGGGGTCCTGGAACGCTGCTCAATGTCGCAGTACAGTGGAGTCGAAAGTCCTTCCATAATTCTGGAGCGAATCTATGCGGCACGTCAAATATGAGTCGTAGAAGTTGATTGCTGAGGCTTAATTGCGAGATCTGAGTCCTGGAGTCGTGAGCCCGGCTTCAAGTCGCAACCATTTTCTCAGGCGGCCTGCGATTGAGAAATGTGTGAGAAACATAGAGACAGGGAATAAGAGGACTAGAAATTCGGTAAAAGGTTAGGGGTGGGCCGGGAATGTAATTCTTGCCAAGTCAGGCTGTGGTCTGGCGGCGCGAGGTCGAAGGCACAGCTGTGCTTTGCGACGCCATTCGCTAGACAATATCTCAAGACTCCCTTGATTGATCAACCAATCATCGCGAAAGGCACAGCTGTGGTTTCCTGTGCCCTATACACTGAAAGTATCGTCCGCTATCGTTTTATGAGAAGGAGACTAGTTGCATCGCTGTGCTGAGATGAAGTTTGAGGTCGCCGACAATGGCCTCGTCGAAGGCTCATGAGCACAATAGTTGGCTCTGAGATTAGAGAGTCGAACAAAGGACTACAAAATGCTAACAGATGCTGAGAAGAACGCCAACAGTAACGAATTGATCTTTCTTTCTTACTAACTTCCGACCGTCGTAAAGTGAATCTTCGATCTAAGATCCCTCGGTGTCAATTCATTATCAACATACCCCCCATATACCCCCATATACTATTTATCATGTCTACTGGATCATACATATCAAAATTGTCCACCGGTAGCAATGGGTAACGTGCCAAGCTTCGAGACCATGATTCAGCTAACACGATTGGCGAAGCAAAAAGGAGGGGCCGTCCGTTATGCTTGACGAATTACTTGGGGGTCCTCTGAACATCACAGAAAGAATGCACCAAAACATTTGGAATGGTAGAAGATCTACCCCTTCTAGCAAGATAAAGGAGACATCACAGTATCTTCTTGAATGGCAAGCCTCTTGGGACGTAATGTCACAAACTACGTTAGTGCAGAAGTCAGCCAAATAATGAATCGGGTAATGTAAATGGTAGCATCGCAATGTTAGATGTATGTTTCTGTTACTGACACGTGATGCAGACTTATTTTCTTCCCAAGGTCGAGTACTTATAAGGCATGGTGGATGGAACCAGACATTAGGATCCGTACCGATGATATCGTCGATGCTTACCATCAGTCATCGAATTTTGTTTCGAGAACAAGCACAGGAGTAATGCTAGTGAAATTGATTCGTTGTTTTTGGGAAAGAAAATGGTTAAGTGGTTTACTTACCTTAAGTCGATGGACGCATATGCGTTTGTGCTGTCGCAGCATTGTACCTTCATGATAAAGTATTAGTTCTTATAATGTCTCGACAACCACTAAGAGTAATATCTGTGACTCGTGCCCGTCCTCGAGGACCCCGTTCGAGCGCGCTGATACCCCTTATTCCAGTTTACAAAAGTCATAAAGAAACTCTGAGATGACGTAGATAGCAATAATTACATGAATGCTTAGTTGCGAAGGAAATTGAGTCGTCGGGTTTGTTGCTGGCCGCAGTAAACTATTTGTTATGACTACCTAGTCGACCAAATGAGATTCTGAACGTAGTAGTGTTCTCGATTTCCCACCGCTTTGTATGTACCAGTGAAGAGGGGAGGTGACTGAACATGCCGAGTAATGATCAAAATCTTTACGACGGCTTCTACTTGCACGTCCAAATTCCGCGGTGGTCTACTGAAAGCGGGCTTGCCACTCACAAACGCATAAATCTAGTACATTATGTTGAGAAACTGAGGTGGTCTGGGTATCAATTGAGGATCCTTGATGGCAAGCACTCTGGGAGAAGAGATCGTCAGGGGATGGTCTTTTCCCGATTCGCTCGTAGTCTGTGGTGTAGATAGATCCGATCGATGATGACCCGATGACATCTCGACGCCAGTCCGAGCGCCAATTCATCCCCCTTACCCCTTGATAAGATGTGAGTGAACAAGGTGCATACAAGCATCTGCTCATTGCAAGTCAATCAAAGCTCAAACGTGAAGCAATTCAGTGGTGAATAGGATTACCACATATTAACAAAGACCGCGGTTCGTCCGGAGTCCAAACGTCATGTTTCTACTTTTGTCATCAGACCAACCCCCCATACCAAAGCCCCTTAGCTCGACCGTTACACATTTCAACGCCCTACCTTACCCCATAGATCGTCGAAACCGTGGCTTTTCCCTCTCTAACCCAGAGTAGACCAAAAAAATTACCAGTGCGGGACATTTCTTATTTCACGCCAGAATAAAGGCATCATAGATGTTTACGCCAGTGATGTCACCAATCACCGCGTCATTGGGGGCCTATGCTCGTCCTCCCTCGCAGCATCCACGAGAATTCGACAAAACCTTTACATTCTGCTCCATCCTTGGTGTCCAATTTGGCTTATAAGACAGAAAGAGAAACTCTACGACAATCATCGAGACCGATTCTAGCACCGGGCGAGACTCAAGCACTACGACTTCCATCCTTTACGCACCACCTTAACCACAGCCGGACCACCACCTCGAGCTCCCTCCCACCCAACCTTCAACATGAAGAAACCCGAAATCACCGAAGCCAAAACCACAACAAACTCCAAAGACGAACACTGGAAAACCCAAGCCCCCTACATCGCCCCAGGGAAATCCCACCCCCACGGCGAGGCCTTCCACAAGAAAATCCGTGGCGCCTGCCAGTGCGGCCAAGTAACCTACTGGCTCTCAAAAGATGAGCCCCTAGCATCAAAGTTCTGCCACTGCAGAGATTGCCAAAAGATGCACGGCGCGCCCTTCCAGTGGGCCGCCATCTTCCATAAAGAAGACCTGGCGTTCGATAACGGGGTTGATGGGTTGACGTTCTACTCGTCGGGGAAGAATTTGCAGGGCCACGATTTGCCGTGTAAAGTGAGCTGCGGGTTCTGCGGCAGTCGAATCATGGATGAGGGCAGGAACATGGTATTATTGTTCCCTGGGCTGTTGCATTTTGATGGGGAAGAGAAGAGGAAGAAGTTTGATGTTCAGTGAGTACTTCCTTCGTTGTCAAGGTAAACGCTTGGCTGAAAGCCGTGATGCTAATCGCTGAGTAGGAAGCACATCTTTTACGGGCAGAGAGTCGTTGATCTTCCCGATGGAAAGCCCAAGTGGAGCGGCCTAGATGAGAAGAGCGAGCTAATGGAGGAAGAGGTTGTAGATGTGAAGCACAAGAAGCGGAAGACGGAGCATACCAATGGCGACTAATATGTCGAGCCTCTAGATGAAATGTATTTGTGTAATATGTAAATCAGTAAATCCAAACGCTTGACGCCATCTTATGCTCGTGATAATGCTCTATATCCAAAATAACAATCTAAATCGTCTCAAGATCCCTCATCGCTTACCAGTTGAAGCTTTCTTGGAAGTATTCGATTCTAGACCACCCACGGCCAAGCATTTCAACAACTGACTTTCGAGCATCGTCGGCCATAACAGCAGGCCCACACGCAATGACGGCAAGACTCGCCTTATCAGCTGCGGTGGCCGCGTCCTGTACCTCTTCACGAACGTCGGGACGCCCGTGAAGTAAACGAACCTGCTCCGGCCACTCCTCTGGCCGCGCAGCATTCGATGCGAGACTGTGTTGTGTAACATAAATATCGACCGACAACTTCCCACAATCAAAGGCGTCTTCAAAGTCATGGCGTAGCACATCCACCGCGAAGCTCAGTTCGCGGACTGCCCAGACGATCTTAATCGACCGAGTTTTTGAAGATGCCTTGGTGAGCTCTGCGAGGTGGGCGAGCGGCACTACAATACCACTGCCTCCAACGATGAAAAGGAGGTCATCGAACTGGTTGAAGGGCTGCTTGTGACCGTAGGGACCTTCCACGAGGACGCGGAGGCGTGCAGGGCGGGGCCACTGCGCTGCTGCATCCTCACGTAGGCGACCGGTAAAGCTGTCGTACGGGCGGATGAGGAACGTCATTGATGGCTCGCCTCTCCTCGGCTCGTACCCAACCTCAGAGATAGGTTCTATATCATGCTCTCCCGCTACGAGTAGGGGAGTCTGCTCGCTAGATGACTTTCTTCTAACGTTCATGTTTGTCGTTGTGCAGGCCATTGTGAATGGGTGGCTTTCCCAAAATCGCTTGTCGCTAAGGACATGGAGGTAATAGTAGGTGCCAGCCTTGGGCTCGTAGAAGCTAGTCGAGTATGGGACATTGATGCGGACGATGTTCGAGTTCGCGTCATACGTGGCGAGGGCGAACGTATTCCAGAACTTGAGGTTGAAGGACAGCGTCCGCGACATGCGTAGAATACGATCGCCAATCCAAATGAGGCAAGGTACCCAGAAGAGAATATCAAACTGCCCAAGGAAGATGGAGACGTGGCTAGAGTTCATGAGTATTGGGAAGTCAAGAGAGAAGAATGTCGAAACTTACCCAAGCATGGTGATGAGGACAAGAATCGACAGTAAAATGTGAAGAATGAGGAAGAGCTCGTATTGCTTTCGTCGCATCCAAAAGACGGAGGCAAAGAGCAAGGCGCACATGCCAACGGTAGCCTTTGGTTTGAGGTCAGCATATGCTACTGAAAGCCCAAGAGGGCATTACTCACAAACCATCCTTCAATCCACCACATCTGGTGCCAATACGACATCCAGTAATTCCAATCGCCGTCTGAAAAAAGTTAGCTTTGAACTTCGTAAGAGATGGTGTGCGTCCTACCATCAAAGACCAGAACAACATAGCCGACGGAGTGGATGACAGCTTGGAGCGTCGAGACGCGGGCAACCCAACGGTGGAAGTTGTTGTACGTCCCAAAGTCCCAGCCGGTCAGCCACATGAGAAGGTTGTTCCTCATGCCAAATAGCCAGATGATGGGGAAGTTGGCGAAAGAGATGATGCCGGTTCTATCGGCTACATAGCGCCAGACCAAATGGTATTTCTGCGGCCAACTAGGGGGGCGTGAGCTAGTGAGGTAAGGCGAAGAGTAGAGCAAGCTACACTTACTACATGTGACCGGAGAAGATCCAGTACCCGTGCACA